GTAGAGATAATGGGTGAAAATCTAACTGAAAAAGGGATTCTGTAAAGGTACATAAGATTGTATTGTTATATTAGTAATAGAAATAACTTTAGAAAATTGGAAACAACGTATGATTAAAATGAGGGATAAAATACTTAGTGTAATTTATTGAAATGTTTGTGAATAAAATAAGTGAAATAAAATAAATGAGAAAATTGAATTAGGAAGAAATGAGAACATTTTAATTAGTTAATGTTTTAAAAAATATAAGTGAAGGGGCGGGGAATTAACTATGGAAAGCTTATAATTGTTGCCATAGAAGTACGATATTTAATTGAAAAGTAATGTTAAAGATGTTAAGACTTTAATGAATATTAATATTAATGATAGAATTGAATTGGAATGGAATGTTTTTTAATTATATACATTTATAATTTTTTCTTTTTTTAAGAATACAGTGTGTATTTTAAGAATGTACCAAGCAGAATCCGAATGGAAGTTATGTATTATATTGAATGTTACAACTTTAGGGAAAAGATATAAAGGCGTCATACTCCAATCAGTAACTACAGGAGAAATTTTGTTTAATGAGAAAAGATAATAGATAATTGGAACAGGACAGACAAAAAATATAAATACAATGATTTGAATTGAGATGAGATAATTAAAATAAAATTGAGAAAATTAAAAGAGGGGAGAAGCTATGCAGAAAATGTAAAATAGTAATAAGATATGGAATAGAATATAAAAATGAGCATGAACCTGAATTTGTGTCTGTATGAAGAAATGTAACCCGGGATTATGCTGCTTTCAAAAAAGATGTTTTATTTGTATTTTTTTTTCTCTTTGTGAAAACTCAAATAAAATTTACAAAAAAACCAAAAACCATAGACTTTTGCAAGATTTTTTTTCCTGGTACTAACCGTGAACTGATATGCACTTAATAGTGTTCTGCCAGTGCTCTTTCGGCCAGTCTTGTAGTACTGAAGACAAGTAATGTTTTTCTTTGACCATTTAAACCAATGTATCTCTGCCAAGTGAAAAGCTTTACATCTGAACATAATTCCCAAGTTTTAAATGCTAAAAACAAATGTGTTAACATTAGTTCAAGGCGTAATTATCTGAATCTAGTATAATGCAGACATTCAATATACAAAGCAATATTTTTAAAAATATACTCTAACATACATTGTAAACACTGGAAATTCTCCATACAGGTAGTCCTCAATTTATGATAATTAAGCCCAGAATTATGGTCATAAGCAGGGGTGGGTTTCTACCGGTTCTGTCCACCTCTGTAGAACCGGTAGCTCTGAAGAGCAGCAGACATAGATGTCTGCTGATGTTTTTGCCCACCCACCCACCTGGCCTGTTACTTGATCTTTATTTCCTGATTTTTCAACTTCAGCTGCCGAACGAGGCACAGCTGCAGTTGCAAAAAAAAAGAAAAGAGGGCTGTTTCAAAGGCTGCTTCTCGGCAGACAGCGTGCTAATGACGATTTACAAGCACACGGCTCACAGTGGGCAGGGAAGCTCGTAAATCCCGAACCGGTAGTTAACCCTGTCATATCCCACCCCGGTCATAAGTCATGCTGGTTGTTAAACAGGTCACCACCTTAACTATGTCTGATTTTACAACCTATTTTGCAGTGGTCATTAAGCAAATGTGACAGTTGTTAAGCAGATGCTATGGTCGTTAAGCAAAGCCATTCAATCCTAGCTTCCAGCAAACATGTCATAAATTGCAGTCCCTAACACGGTCACTGAATCATAAATTAGCCAACATTTCAGCCCAGCCTATCATCAGAAATAAATTATTTTTCAAGGGAAGATGGGGAACCTTTCTTTGATTTGTCCACATAGAGAAATCAAACAACAGCTTTGTTTTAAATCTCTGCTTAATAGATCTGGATATTAATGCCTAGATATTAATACAAATAGTTTGGTATAGTATTTAAAAAGTCCTGGTCTAGAAATCTGAGGACTGTGTGTTCTTGGCCTCCCTTAACTAAGCAAGAAATCTAACTGACTGAGGGACTTTGGGCCAGTTACTTTTTCTGCCAGCCCAATTCACCTCACAGGATTGTTGCTGTGAAAATTAAGAAAATTAAGGATATTCACATTGAGTTTTTATTTAAAAAAAATCTAATAATAGAGATACAAAAGAGACACTGAATCTTGTTAGTAATTATTGCTACTTATAAGCCTATACGAGAAGGCTGAGAAATCTGTTCCCGCTCTCCTAATGTTGTTTGCTTACGGAAAGACCCGAAGAATCAGCCATAACGTGGGAAAGGAAGAAACCTAGAACCGCGCCGCGTCTTGGCGAACGGCCTTCTCCAACAACTGACAGCGAGGGAGGAAGAAGGGCGGGGAGAGAGGCTGCCTGATATCTGGGAGGGTTTTGTTTTATCATTGTGCCCTCAATAGAAACAGATGGATTCCTTCTGGCGCTGACACGAATCTGTCCGCAAGGGTATCCCCGGGCTAAACTTTCCCCGGGTCGTATAATATATATGGGTATATGCATAAGTTTGTATTTATTTATTTGTCATGTTTATGTAGTGTATATTAGAGATGGAGACCCTTTGAGAGCTGTATGCAATGAAATTTCATTTTAATGTATACCGATTAGTATACATTTCAAAGTGACAATAAAGTTAGCCTAAATCTTCTACTTGACGGGTTTCTCCCGCAGACTGATGATTCCACCCCTCCCCCCCTTTTTTTCCTTCTCTCTCTTCGGAAGTGACGGAGACAACGTAACGAATGCTGGTGTCGCTTCCTCTCTCCTTGATAGCCTTTGCGACGCTCTAGGATTGTCCTTTGGCGTGAGCGTTGGCGGGCCTTCGGCCGTGGCCGTGCCGGGTTGTTTGCTTGTTCGGTTTTTTGGGGGGTGAGTGGCGGACGAGCTGATAAGAAAAACGCGGCGGTTAGAAGGCGGTTTGAGCTCCAGAGCCAGCGGGCGGAGGAAAAGAAGAAGGAAGGGGAGGTAGGTGAGGAAAACAAAAGGTATAAATGTTCTAGAGTTGCGTTTTGTTCAACCTTAGAGCCATTTTAAGACGCGTGGACTTCAATTCCCGGAGTCCCCCCCATCCTTCATGCTGGCTAGGGAATTCTGGGAGTTGAAGTCCACGCATCTTAAAAACGGCCAAACAACTGCTGTAGAAGATGGCATGCTGCGCTCCAAAGAGCATGGAGATTAAGATCTACGTTTTCTGGGGCTGGTCTTTGAACTCACCAAAAAAAAAAAAAAACCTAAAGCGTGTTTTGCTCACCACACACTTTTTTTTTTTAAACTCGGAAGGCACCAGCTTTTAGAGAGTTTCTAACTAAAAGATCTTTAATTTTGCTGTGTCTTATTCTCTAGCCTAAGTTGTATCATTACTTGATAGAATCGGCAGTATAATTAGTTGTTGTTTTCAATAACAGCAGCAACAATTGAACTATGCATCGGTATGCTGGAAACACCAAGATATCTAAATTATTGATATGGCGATTTCAAAGACCTGGTCAGCTCCAGGCCCCCAAGATTAATGACATGACATCTTGACTGAGAAGCCTGCAGTCAAATCCATGTTGTATTCTGTCCCTTGCTCTCTGTCCTTTTCTTGTGACAGACTTATTAAAAGAATGGACTGTCAAATTCCTCAGTTAGGATAGCACTTTGAACTATGCATAACTGTGGGCTTGGGAGGACGTTGCTGATGGAGGGCCAGAGGTACTGCAGAATTCACATGCTGCCCTATGCCAATATTGGGGAAAGAGACTCTGAATTTGGAATATTGTACTAGTAATCCTGAACTCCAGTGTCCTTAACTTCTTAGACAGCATAAACTAAGTCTTTTCACTCTGACTTTGTATGGAAATATACAAAAAAGGTAATAATGTTTTACCCTTGGTTTCTTATTCTCTTTGGGGGACTAAAGCTAAGCATATTTATTTGGATTAATCCAAACACATCTGTATGAGTTGCCCTATAAGTGTTTGCTTGGAACCGAAGGGAATACATTATTGACAACTGCAAATATGACAACAGTGGCTGCCTTTTATTCTGTTTTAGGTAATACGAAATGTGACTAGTTCTCAGTTCATGTGCTACAAAGAGGTACTAGACAGAACTTTAGGGGAAGAGAAAGTGAAGTTTCTGAAATTGTCATAAGATAATATCAGCATTACATCTTGAAATGCAAAAGAAACTGCTGTATAGTAGTTATGACTCCAATAATATCTTACATTTTTAGTGTTTGCATAAGTAAATAAATCTTTAAATGCAAAAGAAACTGCTGTATAGTAGTTATGACTCCAATAATATCTTACATTTTTAGTGTTTGCATAAGTAAATAAATAATTATTAATGGAACAATTATTGTGTTCCATATAACAAATAACAAAACTTATTTTAGCAATATGTTTCTTCATAACTAAGTTTCCAGAGATGTTACATTTACGATTTTCTGGTCTTCAGAAATTTCTAGAAAATTTTCACACATTGTTGCGCGTTGATTTCCCCCCCCCCCCCCCAAAAATACATTCTTTGTATATTCACACGCCTTATAAAAATATAAATAAAGCTGTAATGTTTGTTTGTCAAAATTTGCTTCATTTTTTTTCCATTTACTAGAAATGCAACTTTTTTGAGTTGTGGTCATGATCAGTAAATTCCTGTTTGTAAATCTCCTAATATTCCTTCTCTGGGCAAAAAAATATTCTCTGAGTTTGAAGGATCTATTTTAGTTCACCAATAAATATTTTATTATATCTCGGATTCTAATTATAACTTTAAGATTTTAAAACTTTAAGATAAATTATAACTATAAGATTTGGAAGCTAATTTTAAATTAAAAATGGGATAACTATAAAACAATAGTATCTTGACCTCTTATGTTCTTTATCAAATAAAATGATGTCATTTGGGTGACTAAGCTAACCCTTACTATAAACATCAAAATTATAAATTGCTTTCTGTATTTCTCTTACAGATCTGATTCAAGTTTTTCAATATGTCGTACATGCTTCCACATTTACACAATGGCTGGCAAGTAGATCAGGCCATTCTTTCAGAAGAAGATCGTGTGGTAGTTAATCGGTTTGGACATGATTGGGATCCAACATGTATGAAAATGGATGAAGTTTTATATAGCATTGCTGAAAAGGTATAATGTTTTAACTGATTTGGAGAAATAAATTTTTATCATGTTTTAATCCATAACACGCTGAACGTAGAATATGTGCTTAAGAAAAATTGTGTATTTCTGCTATTAGACATATTTTTCAAAAATAGCTAAAAAACTGCAATCAAGAGGCATGATTCCCCCCCCCCCCCCCCCGGAAATATTCCCTTAAAGATTGGAAAACATTAAATACATCTTTGCACTCCAGTGACTTGCTAACTCACTGAATTTCACTATTTTATTTTTAGCTATGATGTCTTTATTCTGAAATAAAAAAAATGCAATAACAAGTGAATTTAGATAAATTAAGAGAGTTGATTTGTCTTTGGCTATTAGTCGTTGCCTATATATATCATGTAATCCATTTTGCTTAGGGATGTTACTTTCATATCCATACATAACTTCACACTAAAAAGATGCAGCACATTAACCCTTCTTTCCACCTAAGCACAGGGTTCCCCCCCCCCCCCCCCCCCCCCCCCCCCCCCCCCCCGCCTTGCTGCAATTCTTGCCCAGCATTGCTTCTACAGAAATATCCCAGAGGGCATTATTTATTATTTATTTATTTAATTTATATTGCCGCCTATTTGCCCATTATGTGTCCTGGAGGGTGGTATTTTAATTTGATGGAGGGTTCATGCATATAGCATGTATCCTATTAGAAAGGAAAAAAATTAGGGATGATATGGATAAGCAGTGAAAATGGTATGTGAACTGTTGACAATAGTGGTATGTTTTCTGAATTAGAAATCATGGTTTTGGCTCTGAAAAAGGTTCAGAATCGAAAGCGAATATCCTTACAGAAACCCCAAACCTGGCTTAGGTAGTACATTTTTTTTCCTATTTATTTTAATCATTTTCACTGAAATAGTTTTAAAGTACTTTATGTAACAATAAACTAGGATTCTCTTGATTTATTAATGCTCTGTTTTGTGGCCACAGAAAGCAAATATATAAAAAAGACGGCAGAAGTAAAGAAACTTAACTTGGAGAGCCAATCTTCATTTCACTTGAAATTATAGCCAGAGAAGTGCAAAATATTTTTAGTTTGGACTGTTTTAAGTTTGTACCATGGGTATTTTGTCCCTCTTCCAGCCTTATTAGCTATATTTTAACCTTGGCCATGTTTCAAGCTTGAAATATTTCTGGTGAGATTGGAGCATCCTATTGTGGGCCTCAAATATTTTGTAAAATGTATTTTTTGATTGTGTGAACAATGTAGGGAAGATTGCAGTGATTTAATACTTACAGGTAGACCTCACTTAGCAACTGCCTCAGGCAGCCACTGTGCAAAGTTATGACAGTGATGAAAAAGTAACTTTATGAGCAATGCCCGTAAAACTTGCTTTGGACAGCAAGATGGATAGCATATAAATTTAATAAATAAATGAAATAAAATAAATTTACATCCTTTGCAGCATCTCTTAGCCATGTATTTTCCATTATAATCTTACAGATTGTTCTGTATCTGACCTGTTTTTTTTCTCTTCCCCCTTCCCCTTTCCCAGAGTGGAGAGATTGCCTAAACAAGCTATCTATTCCTGAGCTGCTTTTCTTCACAGCACAATGCATCCCTAAAAAGTGCTAGCCACAAGTCAACAAGACCGGCTCTGTGACCTTAATTTGTTAGAACCTTTTGCCTGGTTGCAGATTCACAGCTGCTTCCTGTACCTGATAAGACTTTAATCAGTTCCACACCTTTGGTTTTTGCTTGCTCCTGTGCTGCTGTGTATACACTAGGCAAACAGTGCTAGCATGTTCCTTTTGATATGTACTCTCCATTGTGTGCCTACTTACTCTTTTGTAATCCCTTCCTTTCCAATAAATGTAAGGAGAAACATTAATTCTCTTCTTGTTTATTATCCCAGCAGAGGGATGAATATTCTCTTGAGTGAGAAAGTTGGGGAAAGGGTCTATGGTATAAGATTTGCCCTATTACCTGGCTTCCTCATGAATCGAGTTCCAGAAACTTTCCTTGCTGTTTGGACTCACCTGACTGTTTGGAGGTTTATCCTTCTAACATTGTAAACCAAAGGAAAGTTGAAGTAAAATTGTAAACACAGTCACGGTGAGTTTTCACTTTAGCATCTTAGTTGCCAGTCTCAATTATGGGTGCTAAATGAGGACGACCTACACTACAGGCTATAACCAAAAAATTGCATATTGTTAAATTTTTATAAGATTCTACTGATCCACAATTTGGTATATTTATATGCTAAGAAATAGGGTGCTGTAAACAGAATTCTGCTTCTGGAGCAAGACATGATTAAATACCATTTTGTAAGGATCTCTTTGAAAATATACTCCTGAGAGTTAGGGAGCTGCCTTGAAATGTAGGAAACAATTTTGCTGTGTAAGGTAAAAGAATAGAATGAATAAATAAATAAACTCTATATTCTTCTTGCCTTTTTGTGTGAAAGGCATCCAGATATTCCCATGGGCTGAAAAACTTACAGGAAAAGTTCTATTTTATGTATGGTTCTACATTATAAATAAAAAAAATAACGCATTGAGGAAAATATTTAAACTACTGCATAAATTAAGAAAACCCCGCAAATAGCAACAATATCTTGCAATTTGTTGGTTTCATCAGAAAAGAACAATTTAGTTTATTTAAACCTGAGTGCAAATTACTTAAGCATTTGTATATTGCCAGCTGAGTTTCTAGTTTATAGAAAATCAAATAATACATTTGAAAATTATAAAAAAGCCCTATTAAAATTTCAACTTAAAATATGTTTTCAGAGCTTTGTCCAACAACTTTGTTTTTTTAATGGGAATTTTGGGGCTCATTATGGCCATTGAGAATGTCTGACTTTTCATCATTGCCAGATGAACTAGTGGCAATCAAGAAAATCTCAACACTGTTGTTAGAGTAAGCAAACTGAACTTAAGCTATTTAAGACTTTTAAAATTCAAAAGAGAGAATGTTTAGACAGTCACCATCTCTTTGTACTTCATCTAGAAATAAAGCAGCAACCAGCAATCATTTCAGTAGAGATAATATGGTCTTGCTGAGTTATGCAGGCACTAGTTTGTTCATCAAAATCTATGTAAGCTAACATTTCTAAATTAGATATAAACGGTCTTCAATATAATACCATACAATAATGTGCTAGAATTGAAATATGACTTTTGGTTTATGTTGATCTTTAAAAAAATCTAAATATATTATTTTAATATTTGTCAAAGAAAAAAAAACATTGCCTATATAATTATTTCAGGGCTGAGTTAAGAGAGAATTCATTTGAGAAACTGGGTTGAAACGGGTCATAAAATAATAGGAATTCTAGTAACTTGGCAGATGATTTGGCACTTTAACAGAGGGAAGAAAGAGAACAATATAACTTTTGTATTTAAAAATCTCCCTCTGCAGAAATAGCAGCTTAGAGAGGGTGACCCTTCCTCATGGTCTGGCTTATGAGCCCTGTTTGGATATCGCTGCTGTACAAAGTGAGTAAACGGTTCCAGTTGTACTACATATTTCTATATCATACCAGACTTTTGACATACTGCAGTTGCATTTTACATTTAGGAAAAAGCAGTTATCCCCATCAACATGGCCTGTTTCAATTCTGGTAACTTCTTTTCATAGACATTCTAGTCAATAAAGCATTTTCTTCTGTTGATTTGTTTTCCTTCTTTTTTTGAAGTATGAATACTTGCAAACTTGATACTTCTATCTTGAAGTGTACGAGATAGATTGTTGACTAAAAATGGTTTCCTCTCAGTTGAAACAAAAAAAATGTACATTTTATCAAGCTCAGCTACTCTTGTCTACTCTGTTTTTTCTTAAGAGTTCATTTATCTCCCTGTGGATTTTGTTTTTACTCATTGAAGTTTGAGACTATACTTAATTGTTTCTATATCAACACAAAGGTTGTATACTCTAATGAATTATTTTCACATTTTTAAAGATGCCTAAGTGGGTTATGTCTGTGAATTGTAATGGAAGATAAGCTTGGTTTTCATTGGCAGTCTTGTGCATGTAAATGTATTGTGACAAATATTTGTGAATTGTACAATAAATTGTTCTAAAAATGTTTAAAATTGCTTCCACAAGAACTTTTACTGAAGTTGTAAAGTTTGAATAAAAGAAAAATGTGGTCTTTGAACCTTTAAATTATGTGTTTTATTCGGATTTCAGTTCAGTAGAACTCTACAGGAATTTGTGAGGCTTACAGCAGTATTTGCTACTTTCTCCTGAATTCTTTAAAAATCTATTAATGCAGATTTGAGAGATGACACAGAACTTAGGGACAAAATGGCATCCTCCATGAAAGGAAGAATATATTTAAATTTGATTCTCTATCTTGTCAAGTATATGTTGCACTCTGTTTAAAATAAACTTATGGATTACTATCTTTAGATGTATTTTATATAATGTGTATTCAGTATTAGCAAAATGACAAGACTACAAAATAATATGGTAATTGCATAAGCAAACTATGAGGTTAAGGGGTAAGTTAAATAATAAATAACGTTTCATCTCTTTCAAATATATATATACTCCAATTTCATTCATTGCCTTTTTATTTATTGCCTTTTTAGATGTTCTGCTAAAATTATAAAAATTGCTGAAACAAAGCAAAAATAGCTGTCAGTGCTAGATAGGATTTTGCAGAAATAGATAGGATGAGGTGTGTGGTAACACCCAATAAAATGCACTTGCTTTCCTGTAAAAGCTAGCATGTTGTATCAGCAAATATGCTTACTACTGAAATTTCAGTGAATTTTTTCACTAAAGGGATTTTATTCTGAAAAGTATATGTGTGATATGAAAAGGGAGTATAAAATAATCTGATAATTCTGTAAAAATTATTAGCTTAATATCAAAACTTATGGGAAAACAATGATCTGAACTTTTTATTGTTAGGAAATGGATGTTTAAAAAGAGACTGGTGATGAATGTACTTAAATATAGCTGTAGTGGCTACCCGTTTCAAGCATCACCGTTTTGGATATCTTTATGTTCTTGTGCTCTCTAAGAAATCAAAACCTATGCATGGGTTTCTGTATAAGCTTACAATATATTATGAAAATAATTTATTAATATATTTACACTATAAACACATTTTCTTTCCCTTAGGTGAAAAATTTTGCTGTAATTTACCTCGTAGATATCACAGAAGTACCAGACTTCAATAAAATGTACGAACTGTACGATCCCTGTACAGTCATGTTCTTCTTCAGGTATATTTTCATTCTTACATTGCTTTTTAACTTGCATGTTCTCAGTAGGTTTTTTTTCAGTGGGGGTAGTTTACAATTCCTGCCTAATTGTGTATGTTATGTAATATCATTAAGCTACAATTTAAACCTAAAAGTAACTATTGGGATTGATGTTGTTATGCAACTGATATTATAATTTGCTAACTGGCAACAAACCAGTATTAAGTATCATAAAGGTAAGGCAAGTGGCATTTCCTTACAATAGGAAGTCCTTGCTTGCCTGCTATCTGGTTTAGCAATCATTCAAAGTTACAATGGGCGGGGGGGGGGGACTCTATAGCTTTGCAGTCAATCCTTGCATTTATCACTGTCGCAGTGTCCCACAGTCATGTTGGTGTGCTTTGCAACTGGCTTGGGATAAGCTGAGTTAATGGAGAAGGCAGAAGTGAAATCATAAATCATGGTCACATGATGTTTCACATAATGCCCAAAGGGGAACTGAGATTATAAGCTTATTACAGTCACACCATTTTTCTGTTTAGCAATCGTGGCACTCAGTTACAGAATTTCTGGTTGTAATTGTGGTCATTAAAGTAGTACTGCCTATAATTAGTGTATCTCCAGTTGCCCCATATTTCATTCCTATTAGACAGTGCTTTGGGATCAAAATAGGTCATGCAAAATAGCTTGATAGAGTTTGCAATGAAGATGGCACTCCCAGTTAGAATTATACATTGGTTTTTGCGTATAGTTTACAGAGCTGTTCCATACATAGTTAGTAAGAGGAAAATGCCAGCATAACTACTGGCCTTCTGTAGCAGTCAGACAGAAGAGCTTATTCTTTTCTGAAAAGAGAAATACTCTGGCCCACTACATTCTGTTAAGTGTGATGGGGTGTAGTGGGCCAGATTCCTAGGAGAGGGAAGGGAGTACATGCCAGAGGATGACTCAGTTCAGATAGTTTGTGTGAGAGAAAGAGGGTGAATGTAGCCTCTCTCTAATAATTCCCAGAGTGTATGTTTTATGTAAGTTGTAGGCTGCTTCAATTTGGCAAGATTTTAAGGAAACCTACTTGGAAGAATCCCCAAGAATCTTTCTTGATTTTGGGGGCCTGACATTGATCTTGCCAAACTGAAGTAGCTTTTATTCTGCATATATTCATGCATATATTCTGACAACTCTTAGAAAGGGTCTGTCTTCACCCGCTTTGTCTCATACAAATTATATGAACTGACTTGCCTCTTACTTTTCTGGAATGCACCTTCTCTCTCCTGGGAATCTGATCCACTACATTCCGTCACAATAAGCCATGACTGTTAACTATAATTAATTTAATTTGGCATTAAAATATTTAGTTTTTCCTGACTTCATTAGTTTTCTTAACTGAGTGTTTTGTAGTTCTGGGAATGCATACGTTTGTGGAATTCTTTTCTGTTTGGATATGAATATGGGAAGTTCTTTAAATTGGTTATTTGAATTTGCTATATTTTGCTATATGACACTGTATGCCACATGGGGGTACATCCCATGCCAGGTAATGTAGCATTATTTCCAATAAGTATACATCGGTAAAAATTTAAGAAAAAGAAAATTTACAATATTAATAATGGGACACGACTACTTTCTGATCTTATTAAAGTCAACTACAGCCCACTGGGTTGGGATAACATTCCAGCCTGACTTCATTTGGGGGAAAAGAAGAGTTTGTATGTATATGAATAACTATCTCACTTGGCTATATAAATATATGCAGAAATACTTTAGGAAGCATGCATTGTGTAATTATTTTTTTCTCCTTTTCTTAAAGAAACAAGCACATAATGATTGATTTAGGCACAGGTAACAACAACAAAATTAACTGGGCAATGGAAGACAAACAAGAGATGATTGACATCATAGAAACAGTTTATCGAGGAGCTCGTAAAGGTAGAGGTCTCGTTGTGTCACCCAAAGACTACTCAACCAAATACAGATATTGACTTTTTTGGCTATTTATTTCAAGTCACGTTTTTTGGAAACTTCTTAAACCCAGACTTAATATAGGACAATTCTTCCATGGTAACATTTCATGTGAATATATTGAACTGAGTAAATATGTTACCAGATTTTCATTGGAAAATGCCATTGATTTTGGAAATAAAGTTAAATTTGCTTTTGAATAAAGAACTTAAAAATGTCAAGTGCTTTCTAAAAACAATTCTATTTCTTCAATAATGTATTGTCTCTTTTTAAAAATGTATTTAGGAATGCACACAAACTTCTGGAATAGGCCAGTCATGTCTCATGCCAGTGTTTAAAAGCTGCTGTAAAAGCCTAATCAAATGAGCCTAGTTTACCTTTGGCTTAGGTAGTCCTGAAATATTAAGTTATCTGGCACTTCACATTCTCTGCTATTGTCATAAAAGTCAGAGAAGAAGCCTTGCTGATGATACTATGACCTATATCTGGTTTTTCTGCCTTGATGTCCTCTTGTATTTAGGATCTGCTGATTAAAATGTTTTGGGTGCCTGTTGAAGCAGGTGTTGGAAGCTTTCAATGTAGAAACCAGAGACAAGCCTTTTGCCAGGATTTCAGAGGACCTGCTACTAAATTCCTGACACAGCTGATGAGTCATACCAAAATGCAGAGGCAGCCAGTGGTCTTCCTCTATCTTATGGACTAGGTCAGAGGTGTCAAACTGAATTTTTTCAAGGGCTGGATCAGCACTGTAGTTCTCCTTTGGGAGGGGGGAGATGGGACGGATGCATTCTGCAGTACTTTGCTGGCCAAAACTGGGTGTGGAGGGGCCTGCATGCCCATTTTGGCTGCCAGGGTGCTGCAGGAGACCGCCCAGGCCAAAAATGGGCTGTGGGGGAGGGCTGGACTTGGCCCCTCCGTAGCCTGTTTTGGCTGCCAGAGGCACCATGGGCTGGTCCTTTGCTATTTCCAGGACAGCCCCATGGGCCAGATTTAAACAACCCATGGGTCGGATCTGGCCCCAGGCCTTGAGTTTGACACCCCTGGCCTAGGTGAATATATTTCTTTTTCGGATGACAGGCTGAATGACTGTGAGTGGAAGGCTACATCTGGTTTACAGGCCATAGATTTCCAACCCCAAAATTAAAATTTTATTTCTACACCCATGCTATTCTCTAAATGTTGAATAAAGTGTTTTTAATATGGGTGGCTTTTAGTATTTAAAAATTTTTAACTGCTGGAGATCACTGTGTAAAAAACCTTGAGTTCTTATAGGAAAGACAAAAACACCAAAAATATTTTGACAAAAAAATGTGATCCCTAAATTCTTAGTTATACTTCAAAAACATGACCCCATTTGAACATGTTCATGTGATGAATTCAACTATGTGCTCCTTTGGTAATGCTATTCACATACCAAAAGTGGGTACAAAATATATGGGCTTATATATCAGCATAAAACAGGTCAGTTTACATACTGTAAACCACTGTGTGGTCTTTTTATTTTTTGCTTAGTGTGATTGACAAATTGCAATTTATAAATAATATTTTATAACTTAGAGCACATATATCCAGTTTTTGCTTACTCATTAAACCATGATGAACCAAACTATGACTTACATGATATATGAAAAACGTCACCCAGGTTCAGGTTATATTTCTGACATCATTCAGTTATCTAATTTCCTCAGTTCATTTATTGAAAATAATAATTTTGTTGTTAGTAAATGCATACTCTGTCCAACTCCCAATAATTTGGGCAGTTTACAAGCAAAAACACGAAACAATACAATGTAATAAAAACAAGGAACAAAAGTCTTTACAAAAGGTAAAAAAGGAGAGGGCAGAAGCAAAACTATCCACTCCTTGGAAGGTACTAGTCAAAGTAGTCAAAGTAGTCATCATAGTCAAAGGTCAGGGCAAAGAGCCATGTGTTCAAGACCCTCTAAAACAACAACATAAAAACCACCTAGTTCTTATGGAGAACCTCATTCCAGAGGGCAGGCACTCCAGCAGAGAAAATGCCCTTCTGGGTGCTAAGAGATGGTATTGCTTAATCAAAAGAACTGGAGTATGCAAAACCTGAATCAAATCTGCTAGTTACTGTGAGAGGTAGGCGGTACCTCAAGTAATCAGTCCCTGTGCTATGTAAGACTTCATAGGTAATTATCATCAGAGCAGTTCACAAAGCAGGGCTATTACGTGGGCATATCAAAGCATATCTATTATTGCCCTTACTCTGCATTCTGGATCAGTTGAAGTTTCTGCATAATCTTCAAGGGCAGTTCCATGTAGGATGTGTTACAATAGTTAAGCCATGAAGGAAAGGGCCTCCTATTCTAGGAATATTATTCAAAAAATATTATTCAAAAAATATTATTCAAAAAAGTAGAAATTGTTCAGAATTGCATTAGTGAGATATAGCAACATCAGTTCCTAACACCTGATCCCAATAGAGGAGAACTAATCCAAGTAGAGATTACACAAATTTCAACTATTAGCATGGACTTTTACTCTGCTTTCTTCATACTTGATAGTTTTAACATCCATACATGATGTACCAAGAAAATGAACTTCAAGGAAAAAATGGAAACTACACTTGGTATAAAAGGTTATAAATATATTCATACAAGAAAGTGTATGAATTGTCTTGAATTCAATGTTAATACAAAGTCTGTTTTCAATCTTTAATGTCACTCTTAAAGAAAAATTTCATGTTTTCCTTATTTATGTATTTATCAAATTTCTATACTGCCCTTCACACTTGTGTGATTCTATATTAAAGCAGTAAAATAAACCAGAAATATTTACATCTTTTATTTTTCTTTGTAGCCAATAATGTAGTGTACAAAAACATGGCTTGTATATCCATTAGTTATATATAGTAATAACAAATATCCTAAAATTGTACAAATGTAGACCATACTTAAAAATCTTCATGTTGTGTGCAGGGTTTCTTTGATGCCTTCAGTTCTGCATAAAAATAATTAGCATAGAAACTGAATTAATATTAGGAAAATAAGATGTGAATTCATCCTATTGATAACTCTTAATCTTTGTACTTTCTTCCAACTGTGTGTATGAAAATAAGACAAATCATTTATTTTCCAAAATTTTTAAAACAGAAACTTACTGATACCTGCTCAAGTGCTAAACCTTTTAATCATCTGAATTATTTTTGTACAAATACGCATATTCACACTTTCTTTACAAACAGGTGAGTTCTAGCATTCTTGCAATCACTTCAAAGTTTTGCACTTAGTTATAACTTTTATTCTTGGAACTCCAGTAAACAAATGAATATTGAATAAATGAATGTGAACTCAGGCTGTGCCTGAGTTTTTAAAAGCTAAGCAAAGATGGATCTACTGGATTTTTTGATGAGAGATCTCAGGATTAATAGGTTAGACTGGAAAGTTGAAAGAAGATAGTGCAAACTTTGTGTTGTTCTATAGATTCATCAAGTATTGAGTTTCTTTGTGGAAATTCTTACCCTGCCATAAGCTAGCTGTGCTCTTCTGCTTCTATTAATGCAAACAAGAAGCTTAAATTTATTGTAAAATATAAAATATTTATTATTATTATATATTATAAAATATTTATAGCAGATTTTTTAGCTATTGCGACATGTTTATATAAAACCAGAAACTCACCGTTCAGAATCTTCACTAGTATTTTCTATTCCAGCTTCAGCCATTAGTTCAGCAACATGTTTTTCCAAATCATTTATTCGTTCACCCATCTCATCCAGTAAAAGGTTAAAGAGCACTGCATTTTTAATTCATTTGTATTAGTTTATAGTAATCTGATAAAAGAATACATGGCATGTATGTGTAACAGGATTCACATTTGGTTTCTATTTTTAAAAAAATCCAAAATGCTGTTTCATTTTATCTTATTGACAAACAATTGAAAACAATTATTTTCATACTTCTTATCTGGTCTGAATGTATGCTACAGGATATTAAAAGCTTATAATATGTATAATATTGTAGTTAAGTGTTTCAAGACTGAACATTATCTGAGGCAATATTGTCTTACTTTAAAAGAATATTGCTATTATTTAATAGTTTCCTGTATTCTGTCAATACTGTCTCAATTCATAAAGTTGAAGAGGAACATATCATAATCTCCTATGTAGGAGGATTTAATATATTTAAATTGATAACCATTAATGGTATTTTAGGAATGATGCATAACTATTTCTGTAAACTGAAAATTATTTTTTTTCTAAAATTGATATAAATTTGCTAGGCTTACTGTCATATGCAATATTTCATTTTTTAGATTCTTAAGTGAAAAATTCAAATGATGAGTTGACATGCTATATTACAAATGGGAAGTTGACATGTTATAGCTATGCTATAAAGTACCAGCTTCTGAAATTCTATGTATAAAGACTTTGGATCCCCATAAAGGCTCCATAAGTATTCTTTGGAAATAAAAATGATGTGGCTAAAATCTAGTGTTTTGTTTTAGAAAAATGTCCTCTTGTACAAAATTCTTATCAGAAAATAACCTGATGGATACATTCACTTCTAGCTTCCAAAATCATTCCCTATCATCTTCCAGTTTACCTTTGTACCTGACAGATGATCATAAACATATTTTGGAAACATTTAGGGATTAGCCAAGCTGATTACAAACGATTTCACACATTAATTTTAGAAAAGGATTCGAAAAGGATATTTTGTAGAGATAATTTATCAGTCAGATCTTCAAAGTTTTCGTGCAGCTGTTGTAGGAGATTTTCTGCCTGTGGGTGAAGAAAATACACCTATGATATTACCATATTAAGCTACTTCCTGGACTTACCCAGCCTTACTAGTGTTATTGTTTACAGTGCACAAAAAAAGATGGCAATCTTTTGAGGAACAGCTTGATTTCATCTACTGAGTATGATCAAGGAGGGAGTTCCCTTAAAATAGCTAATATATTTGTGAAAATACTAAGAAAAGGAGTTAAAAAAAGGAAGGGTCACACAAAACAGAATACGATATGCAGAGATTATACCTAACTTTTATATGGAAATGTTCTTATAGGTCGCAAATATATTGTAAGTACATGTGTGATCAAAATTCAGGTGCTTAGCAACTGATTCCCATTTATGACAGTTGCTGTGTCCCAAATTACTCTTTGGTGACCTTCTGACAAGCGAAGTCCATGGAGAAGCCAGATTCACTTTAACAAGCAGGCTATTGATTTAACAGCTGCACCGCTTCACTTTAAAAACCGCGGCAAAACGCAATTCAGAAATGCCTCACGTAACACAAATGTTGGGCTTCCTTGTGGTCGTAAGTTTGAGGACTACTTGTATGTATGTCTGGCGGCTTCCTGCAAGAGCCGCCACACCCATTCGCGTCGTGCGCGATACCAGCGCGAAGCCTCGGACTAGCGTCGGCCGTACTCACAAACTGAGAGAGCTCCCTGGCGCTCGGAGAGTCCTTGTCCGCCATGCCCTCTTTCTCCACCTGCGACGCCGTCGTCGTCGCCGCCGCTTGACTCGCTCGCTCTTTTCTGCTCCAATTGCCGCCCCGGACGGGAGGGAAGCGGCCCCGGAGACAAAGCCGCCTCCCTGCCACCTTCCGAGTTTAGCAGCGGGGCTTTCTCTTCGCCGCCACGGTTACACGGCTACGCCCACCGGCGCTGCAGGAAGAACCAATGCAAAAAAGACGACTTTTCTACTCCTCCGTGCCACGTGCCCGACGCGTCATTACTTTGGTTGCCTGCGTTTCGGGAGTTTATAAAGGATGTTAAATTTCCCTCTTGGGACTTTCAGTGCCAGCTCACCTCTAAGCGGCGAAAATATCATTTTTCTCCCCCCGTTTTTAAAGTTTGAAAGATGCTATTGGTTGCTAAGCTGAGCCTTGGGATATGCTTGACGGTCAGTCAAAATTAGCAGAGGACTTACCTGGATGATCAGCGGCCAGCAAGAGAGGTCTTGAGTTGTCGGTACTATTCATAGGAGTATTATAGTATGTAATTGTTTTTTATTGTTTTAAAATGTTTTTTTAGTATTTTGCTTGTAATCTATTTTTTAATTGTAAGCCACCCAGAGTCATCGACGGAGATGGGTGGCTATAGAAAATGAATGAATGAATTGATTAATTAATGAAAAATATTTCAGTTGGAATTTTCTCCCCCACTGTGGTAGGACTCCTAAAAAACCCCAGAGATTAAATGGGGAAAAAGTTGTATCTGCAGGGACCCAACTTTAAACTGCCTGGGAGTCTGATGCTTTTAAAGGTTGGAGAAAACTCCTGAGAGAACAGCCAAGAAAACAAAAAAATGGATCATTGAACAAATCAATGATCAAATTGTCCTGCTTTACACACGCATTACGTATGCAGAGACCTATCCTCTGGAAAAAGTTCTAATGCTGAGAAAGGTGGAAGGAAAGAGAAGAAAGGAAAACTGGCAGCAAAGTAGATCGGTACAGTGCGATGGGTTGGAAGATCTGAAAAACTGGGTTTGGGGTGAGTTTTCATGGGGGGGGGAATCGATTTACAATATGTGATAGCTAAGAGTTTATAGCAACTTAATCAGACACCTACCCATCTTTCAAGAGAAGAGCACTTTGGTCAAATGATATTCCATCTTTCATTCACAAGCTCAAGATAGATCTATAATGCTCCCATTCTTCCTTTTCCCCATAGCAGCTGTGTAGATAGTTCTGGATGTAGAAAGTAAATGCATAGCGTGTGAATGGAACAAACCTTTCTTGTTGGAAACAGAAATATGTAAATTATTGTTTAATATGTTTAACATAAACATCTAGAAAGCCTTAGGCAAATAACAACTAAGTCTATCCTAGTGTAACATTTATTTATTTATTTATTTGTCTATTTTATTTGCCACCATCTCACTACAAGGAGACTGTGCCAAAATCCTTATAAGAAATATTGTAGTGAAATCAACTAGGTCCAAATAAATCTTAATTTTAATACCAGGAGCTGTTTGTTTGGAAAAACAAAGGTATTCTCAAAAGCTATGCTGCCTGTGTTGAAATTAAGATACATAATTCTTATAAACAGTGCACACTCACATATGGCACTACCCAAGACAACAGCGTGGAAGCAGCAAAGAAGTTTATTCATGTATTTGCAAACACGAATGCACCGAAGGTGAATGTAGAAGAAAGCATCAACTTTTATGACCTTACATAAGTTCATTTCCCCCTCCTCTTTTTGACACAGCATCCTGCTCGATTCTCCTAAAAGCCACGTCCACCTTTGTTCAAAGAATTTTAAAAGTTCACTATAACCTTTTTCCTTGCTAGCATAAGCTCTATTGTTATTTTTGTACTTCCTCTGCTTGCTGTTTCGGCTGGCGTTCAGGCTCGCTAGGCTTGTGGTTCTTAGCTGTTAGCTGCTACATACAGGTAATTTTGAAACAGTTTATAATTGTTCCATTTGACTTACCAAACATTTACCTTTTAGAAACAATACCAACTCCATTTTCTAACACCCTACCATCTTAAACTCACAAAACTGGTAACAGTTCCTTAAAGCCTGTTGCAAGAAAAGAAAATGACAACCTGCCTGACTTTGTTTGGCTTGAAAACTAAGCAGGACTGAGATTGGTTAGCCTGAATTTTTTCCAAGGAATACAGATAGTCCTTGACCTGCAACCATTTGTTTAATGACCATTGAAAGTTACAAAGGCACTGAAAAAAGTGAATTATGGCCATTTTTCACACAACTGTGGCAGCATTCCCATGATCACATGATCAAAATTAGGACACTTGGCAACTGGCATCTATGAGTCACGTGGTCACTTTTTGTGACCTTACAAAGTCAATGGGGAAGCCAGATTCACTTTACAATCTTGTTACTAACTAAATAACTTCATGATAACAACTATGACAAGAAAAGTTGTAAAATGGGGCAAAACTCATTTAACAACTGCCTTGCTTAGCAATGGAAATTTTGGGCTCAATTGTGGTCATAAGGACTACTTGCATCAGAACTATGGGCTAGATTTCGAAGTTTAAAAAGAAAATCTAAAAGCAAAGCACTTCCATATTGTTGCCAAGAAAACTAGGTGCATTTGTTTGTGAAGTCACCAGGAATCAAGTTTAATAATTTACTCAAATGAAAGTGGTGA